AGAGCAGGGAGCCCGATGCGGGGCTTGATCCCAGGACCCTGGGATCATGACCTGAGCTGAAGGCAGACGCTTAATGACTGAGCCACCCAGGTGCCCCCACTTGGGGACTTCTGAAAGAACAGTTTCCATAACTGCTGGGTTGAGGGTCAAGACATGGAGGTGGTGAGTATAGATAGTACTTTGGGAAGACTGATGATGAGGAAGAAAAGAACCATAGGACAGGAAGAAAGACAGCTTGAGGATGAAGTTGCTTTGCAGGCCACAACAGAGGGTTCCGTATAGACCCCAGAAGGGCTGAGGAGGCAGCTACACCATGATGATGATCCGGCAGAGGTATCACACACTTGATTCCAACTGGCAAGCGGACATGAATGTCTCAAGAACAATGGATCCCAACTGGTATTCATTCCCCTTCCCGGGGTAGAGTTCTGATTGGTGTTCAGACAAATTATCAGACCACAGGGACCACACACTGTGTGCCACTCATTGTGTTGAGTGCTGTACACACATGGCTCCCGCAGGCCGTAGAGCAATTCCAGGAGGTAGGCGCTATTACCACTTCCATTTTACAGATGGGGAAACAGGCTCTGAGAAGTTAAACAATGTGCCCAAAGTCACAAAGCCAGTAAGTGGTGGAGCCCAGAACAGGATCAGGTCTGTCTGACCACAGTGCACTAAGGCCTGCACCAAAGGCAGGGGCGGCTGAAGAGAGGATTGAAAACAAGACATTCCTAAAGAGTCCTGATGCTTCCCCAAGCTTACAGTCCTTGAAGGGAGGAGCATGACTGGCTCTTCCCTGTCTGCCCCGAGCTCTAGATAAGAGGAAGTGAGTTTCTAGTGCAAAAGGACAGACTTGGGAGAGCCATTAAAAAAAAACTTGCTGCAAGGGCAGGTATGGGTCCACAGAGAGCTGATGGTGGAGGAACCTTGTATGGAGATGAAGCAGTTTCTCTCTGGGAGGGTCCACAGTGTCCTGTCCAGAGGGGCTCAGCCATTACACTGGAAATCCAGATAAGCAGACTGTGGCTATGACATTCTCTTCTCTGGTAAGAGGTGTCCTCTACAGAGCATCTATGACCTCTCCAGGAGTATCTGGATAAGGTTTAGGGGAACTTTGAAACCCCTGAAATTGTGAGGAAGATTGTGTATGTGTGGGTGTATATTCACAGATTATCACTGGGGAAGAAGCTTTCATCAGATTCTCTGAGAAGAACCTGCTTCTGCCTCGGAGTCCACGAGGAGGGAGACTCCCGGCACCACAAGTGCTACCAGGATTTGGTGACAGAGAAAGAAAATAGGTAGAACCAGTAAAGGACACTGAAAGACAGTGTCTTCCTGAGAGGGTCCTGTCCATCCCTACTCGCAACTCACACTCCCGTCGTGCACTATACAGCCACGACCCTGATAGGAACCACCCTCCCCAGGCAGGCCCCACCTGGATCTTTTCTTGGCGACGCTGCTGCTCGGCTATCTTCCTGGCCAGAGCCAGCTTCTTGGCACGAAGTTCCCTGATGTCATCCTCACCCCCGCTGCCTTCGGCCTCTGAATCTTCCTCAAAGTCTTCAATCACCACGTCCTCCTCCTTTGGGTGGTGGAGCGGGCCAGGGGAGAGAGGAGACTGTGAGCCCATGGCACTTACCAGACCCACCCTCCTGTACTTCCAGCACTCCCAGTTCCATGCTTTTTTGGATCTTCCTTTCAAAGGGCCCCAAGGTGTATACTTCCCTCAATTCAGGCAGAGAGGGAATAGAGAGAAGCTGCCACCTCTCCTTTCCCCACCAATTACTCCCTTTTGCACTCCAGGCTCTTTCCTCTTGGAGAGTCACAGGTCCACACCAGAAGTCACTCACACACACATATACTTCCATGCTTATACACACACTCACCAAATCAAGCTCTGAACCTATTTTCATTTTGTATCACCAAGGGGGAAAACAACAGAGAATTTTAAACCACTCAATTTAAATCTAATTCCTTCTAATGATCTGATAGAAATCAATTCTGGCCAAGAGCTGGGAGTTAGGCGTAGAAGCTCCCCTGCCCCCAGATGGCTGCAGGGAGCAGATGCTGTGGCTCAGCAGACCTTGCCCTGATTTCTTTTTAAGACCACAGCCTGGCGGTGTGGGGGCTACTGAGCCCCATTACAGGAATTCACATGACATGACCTTGCTCAGCTGCCCTCTCGGGGTCTGGGCAGACTAGGAGACGGCTGGCTGGCTAGCTTCAGGAGCCTCCTGCCAGGCTGGCGGAGCTTTCCCCAGGGATGGCCCTCCCCGCTTGCAGCTTCACTCTCAGAAGCCCCCACTCCCCGGGTGGTCCCAGGCTCCATTCCTCACTCTCTCACTTCTGACCTTGGTCAGCAGAGAACATGCAGCTGCCCAAGAGCACGTCCTCTGAGGGACAGGATTAGCATGGGTAACAGAGTGATTAGTAGGAGAAGATTCTTGTGCTTCTACCTGGTTGACGATAATGACACTGACTATGACAATAACAGCTACCATTTACTGAATGCTCACTACTGGCCAGATAATTGGGCTAAGTGTTTTTCACATATCAACTCATTTAATACTCACGATGGTCTTTGAAACAGATGCTACTGTCATCCCTAATTTATAAATGAACACGCTGAGGTTTAGAGAGTTAAAACAATTTGCTCAGGGATAACAGTTAAAAAGTGGCAGAGCAGTGAGCCTGATTCCAAAACACGTGCTCTTCGCAATAAGAGTGGGCAAGAAGCACAGGGCTGGGGTCTGGACTCTAGACAGCAAGGCCAGACCAGCCCCGAGTGGCTCGGCTTTGCCAGGCTTCCAATAGGCCCAGCTGGGATGTGTTGGGCACAGTCTGCTCTCTCCTCTAACTGTCCATCTCAAGATGATATTCTGATGGGTTCTCTTGGCTGGAAGTGGTTGGTAAAGTGTGTGGGTGGGTAGCTGATGCTCTGTCTTGGGAGCAGAATCTAGGAGGGTAGAAAGACAGGTGTTTTGGCAGCATCCCTAGGAATAGGACTCTCTTCTGCTCATGAAGAATGATATCTGAAGAAACAGAATCACCGCCCCCTTCTTCCTCCCCTACCTAGCTTCAGTGACTCAGTCTTGCAGTTTCGGGAGAGACGGGGGTCTCAGGATGTGGCTGGAACTGTCACTATCCCAGAAGTCTCAGGAGTCTGGGTCGCTGTCTACACTGACTGGGCATGTCACAACCCACAGGCTATGGTGTCACAGGATTCATTTCCAGGGGGCCCAGCACATGAGAAGGAGGAAAACTCTCTTTACACATTTACTTCCTTGTTCGTGGGGTTAACCTGAACTGGAGAGAGCGGGACAGGGTGGTGACCAGCCCACGGGGGAACACTGCCTCTGCCTGCTCTGACCAGGGATACACAGGGTTATCATGGGGCTTGGGGTGAGCTTGACTGAGGTCAAAAGGGGGTCAGTGAGGCTTGTCTGAGGTTCACTCAGCTCTCACAGCAAACGAGGAAGTGCAGGGTTATGAAATTACACAGACCAGGGTAAGCAGGGTTTCCCAGGGGCCACTAACATAAAGGAACCCAGGAGGCTCGTGGGAAAAGGAAGAAGTGGGCAGCACGGCGTGGGTCACAACCTTTGTCTGGTCAATAAGCCTTAGGAGAAAAGAGAGCGTGGCACGGCCAAACTCTGGGCCCAAAGAGCTGGTCTGCTCCTCATGAGTGGCGGAGACCTTCCTTGGCTTTTACATTGTTGTGTCCTTGTCTGTGGGCCTCACTTGCCTAACTGGAGTCGGTACTGCAGGCTCTACTGGCCAGAGGACACCTCTCTTAGCGATCCTGGAGAGCTGGCCTTGCTTCCTTTCCGCTGTATGCCTCAGCCTTGAAGTGTGGGTGAGAGAGCTGGCTGAGGTGCTGCCCCACCCATGCTTCCCTGCACAGTGCCCAGGGCTTGGGGGGCACTGCTTTGTCCCGCACGAAGCCTAGACACCCCGATGGCTTTAGCAAGCCCGCTGCCTCCTCCCGTAATGACAGCTCATTCTTTCCCATTATTCCCTGCCCAGGTTTCATCTGGAGTCTGGAATCATGGGCTCAGCTTTATCCCTGGAACCACCTCTGTCCTGGAAGCGGAGCCCTGTGTCATCAGGGGTGGGGTGGGGTTCTCCAGCTATTCTGATGAAGCCAGTCCAAGGCTCTGCTGCTCTGAAGACTCTGAACCAAAGGTGGCCACTCTATCACTGCCTCCGATCACAAACGACAGCTTCCAGCTGACATCTGGCTTCCCTGGCTTGTTGCTGATTTCATCCCTGCACCCCACCCTGCTCCACCAGGCGCTTGAGACTGCTGTGGGCCAAATGACTGTGCTGGCCTGCCGCTGACCTGGCCTCTGGCTAGAATCACTTCCGTCCCTTCTTGAAGTCCTACGTCCCTTCCCACCTAAGTCTCCTCTGCCTTTAACACTGTGGGGTAAAAAAGGAGAGCCCACCTCCAGGCCAGAGCGAGCTGTGCGCGCACACCTGGAGTTACTCAGACACACAGCAGCGCAGGGGCGGTGCTGTTAAACGCGTACATGGGCCGACACTGTCACACACTCCCGTTTACTCAGAACCCACAGCCAGCGGGGAAGCCGGTGGCACAGTTCAACTTAAACTGACACACAAACCCAGCACATACAGACCCACGACAGCAATCACCCTCAAAATGACACATACATGCGCAGGAGGGCAACTGTCGGCGGGGTTTAGCCAGGGTGGGCACACAGGCGTGTGTGCACACACACATATACACATGGTCTGGAGTGAAGCAAGGGCTACAGGAACAACCAAGGGCAAACAAACAAGAGGAGAATTCCTTAATCACATCAGGATGTGCAGGAGGGAGGGAGGGAGGGAGAATAGGCCGGGGGAGGGGGTGATTTTCCACACGGGGCCAGCAATGTCAGCTCTTCCTGTACGTGTGCTGGAGGCTGGAGTTCAGGCCTGTGCGGCGCTGAGCTCCACACATCCATAAACTTGATCCTCAGCCTGAACCCTAACACCCACCCCCCCACTCCCTTTCCTAAGCCTCCCGAGCTGCACATTATTAAACTCTTTCTTTCCCTCCCTTCTCCAATGCAACGTTAAAAAGAAGCATCTGGAACTCGTAGCAGAGTGAGATGGAGACACTGGGGTGGGACTGGCAGGAAGGGGCACCAGCAGAGTGCACTCCTGAGAAGTTGGCTGCTCACGTCCACATCCATACTGCTCTGAGTGGTTATAAATAACCGGGGAGAAGAGGCAGCCATGGGCAGAGCAGGGGTGGGGTGGGGTGGGGTGGGGTGGGGGTGGGGAGCCTTCCCCTCTGCCACAGCGGGCTCTCCCTGCACAGTACCTCATCTTCCAGTTGTTTTCCCTCTTGGCTTCCCATTTCCTTTCCCATGGTGTCTGGGACGGGTGCCACTGACACATATTTTCCACCCTTGAATGCCAGCAGAGGCTCTTCTTGTCCACAAAGGGCTTCCAGAAAATACTTCAGCACTGTGACCCTTTTGCAGTCGGCTGCAATAACCTACAGGGCGAGAGGGAGAGACGAGAAACAGCATTTTCTGCAAGGGAAGATGAAGATGACAGGCATTGTTTGCTGGCAGAGGGGCACATGAGAAGCGTGTCAAAGTTACCGGATAAGGCAGTAGCGTGGACAAGTGGGACTTAGAGGGTGTAGGGGATTGTGAAGGAGGGGCAGGGGCGGGGGTTTGAGGGCCAAGCTCCTCTAGAGGAAGAAAGTCACTGTCTCTATTTAGGTCATCCGTGGGGGAGCAGACAATCCCATGACCAACGACAGGTGCCCTCTGGGCCTTTTGCCTTTCTTCTGCTGAGGGCCTGATATAAAAAAAGAGTAAATTACATTCGTCTAAGTTTAGTATTTAATTGATAGAAGGAAGGGTGGAGCGTAGAACACTGGCTTTCCCAGAACACAGCTTCCTGATACCCTCACTGCCACTCTCCATTCCCCTCCCAGCTCCCCTCTCCAGGCTCCCAAGAGGAGCACTTCCAGCCTGAGTGTAAAATGAATGATGAGGGCTTTCTTGGCTGTTTCATTTCAGCTAGATCACTTTGGGCTTCCCCTGACAGGTTCCTGCCCCACCCAAGAGCTTCTCATGCTTAAGAGACTGGGGTCAGGCAGGAAACTATTGTCAGGAGAAGGGAGGCAGGCAAAGCAGGTAGGGGGTGTTTCACCAAAACTCTGCTCCTCCAGGGCTTCACGCCATCCTGCTCCCATGTGGCCACATCAGCACGTAAGCCAGCGCTGTCAGAGAAGCTGGGGCTGATTTAGCTGAAATGAAATTCAATATCTTGAGCAATCGTCAAATCTAAGTGTCTCAGATGAAGTTTCCATAGTCACTCTGTCTGGGGTCCTTCTGCTAGACCACACAGGTGTGTCCTCACTTGCAAACCCATCTGTGCTGCTCGCACCCTCTCATGACCTGCTGTTCATCTCTGGCCCCTGGGGCCCTTTCCTCCAAGGGAGAGGAGGAGCCCTGCTTGATCTGGAGCTTGGAGACAGGTGAAGACCATCACCCCTTCATCAGCACTGACTCTAGCCCCTGCAGAGTGCTCCCCATTCCAGAATGTGAAAGTGACCTCGATGTCGATATCACATTGTAAAGTACTAACTTGGAGACTGGCTTTGATTGTTTGCTCATTGTTTCACAGGTGCATATGTCCCTCACCTGGACAATAATCCCACTGGTAGCAAAGGATACATCTTGTACTTGCTTTCCTGTCAAGGGGTGCTAAACACAAGTGGGGCACGCAGGAGGCTCACAGGGAGGACGGACAGGCATGGGGAGGCTCGGCTGGGTACCACAGGGGCATGAGGCAGGCACGGTCCAAGTCTTCTAGGACACTGGGGAAATGAGCACTACTGTGCCAGCTGGCTAGCCAGGGCAAATGCAACACACACCAGTCAACTGGGACTCCAACTCCGTGACTCTGTCCTCTGCTGTCTCTCTGCGCCAAACCCGCTCTTCTCTCTGCCTGGGAGTGGCCCCTGCTCACCCTCACCAATGGCCCTGGGAGCATTATAGGCCTGAATCTCAGGTTCAGGACCTTGACCACCTCCACCTGACCTAACAGGTGCTCAGCTACCCAGGGAAGGCTTAGGAAGGGACAGCCATCTTGAGTTTGGGGTGTCCAGTCTTGGGCTTGGGCCAGGGCAGGTAACCACAGGTTCCATTGCATGTGTTCAAACATGTCATGAGGAAGGCTAGAAATACAGAAGCAGGGGCTAAAACGCATTAAAGAACAGAGCTGCAATGAGTAACGGCCCAGCAAGCAGCACGCACAGCGGCCTCCTGCATCCCCAGCCTCTCACTTGCAGAGGAAACTTCTGCATTTCCACAAGACTGCCAGTTTCCTCTCTGTGGTCTAATTTTAACCACCTTGTCGTTACAGTGTGTGTCAGCCACCTGACCCCACTATGACCTCTGACCTTATGCCCCAGCTACTGCTTGCACGATGGAGAATTATGTAATGGGTCCAGGACTTTCCTTTTCAGTGTGAGGCTGCTACCACTGAATGGAGAGGAGGTGGGGGTAGAGGGGTGAGAGGAAGACAGAGAAAAAGCTTGCCGTGGTCCTTGGCATCACCTGGATGGTGAGAAGAATGCAGGAACTCCTGCCAAGTGTGCAGCAGAAATTTGCCCAGAAGAGGAGAGTGTGTCCATGGCTGTGTGTGCCCACTGACGGGCAGTGAGGAGAGTTCCTGCTGTTCTAGCATGCACTGGGTGGCATGCTCAGAGGCTCAGGAAGAGAATGTGATTCCTGGCCAAGAGGGAGAAAGGGCACATGCGTGGACATGGGACTCTTGGAGATGGGGATTTCCAGGGCACAGCGGGACCCAGGGACGCAGACATCCTGAGCCTGCCTGCAGCACATCCTTCGGGGATCAGTGGGGATTGTCATTCACATAGACACAAAAGCAAAATGGAGTGCCCCCCACCTTCGATTGTCACCCAAATGTTTAGAAGGAACATGGTTTCCTTGGGGATCTTGTCTGCTAGGGCCATTAGTTTCTTCCCAGGACAAGGGCACTCCTGGCTGATTCTCAAATGGTTTTGATCCTGTGGGGTCTCTGAGTTACCACTAAGAAGTGTGGAGAGAATTCCATGTGTTTGCAGAGAGAAAAGCCACTTAGCCTTTTGGAATTGTGAACTCTTCCCCCTGCAATCCAACTAGTAGGGAGGACAGCCAAGGTTGTGCGGGCTCCTTAGGTTTCCAAAGGGCACTGTGAGTGAGAATGGGCCTCTAGTTATTTAGTGGATGGGGGAACTGAGGCACAAAAGTCTAGGGCTTGCCCAGGGGCTTAGCCTCTGTCTCTAGCCCGCTGGCCTATCTGTTAAAGCATTCTGCTTTAAGGCAGGAGGAATGAGCCCAGCAGGGTGAGGACTACAGTTCTCTTGGTCCCGGAGTCTACATGAAGCTCATGGCAATATTCTCCCAGATAAAGCCTCCAGCACTTCAGTCAGGGAAAAAAGTGTAAATATGGTTAATAAGAGACATCATGATGGAAAAAACCCTTCAAACCACCCACAAAGAGCCAACTCCAAGATGATCTTTGGCTGGCCAAGGAGGACTTCCTGGTAGGACAGGGGTTAAAGCTGGGCTCCCTGCTTGGAGAGGGGGGAGTCCAGCTAAAGTCTATGACATAATCTCCACAATAGCCCTGTTCATGAGTACATTTTTCCATTCTATATCAATGAAAAACACAGAATGTAAGTGATCTGTACATTGCAGCTCTGGGCAAACTCTAGATTCTCTAGAGGAGAAAGAGCTGGGCAGGAGGGCTCCTTCTGGGCTATTAACAGGCTGGGCTGGCCTAGAGCTAGAGGCAGGTATAAGGGCTGCTGGCCAGGGAATACCCCAGGGAACCTGGGACCCAGCACCTTCTCAGTAGTAGTCCTGGCTTTTCTGGAAGGAGACTCACTGTGTAGGAGATTACCAGGAACTCCAAAGTTGATGGACAAAATGTCTCATACAAATTACTCTAATCAACTTCGAGAAGAAAACTGGGGAGCTTTAGGTCAGGGAAGAACTAAAAGAAAGGCACTCGGAGAAAGCCCCTTTCCCTTCCCCTGAAGCCCATCTGAGGCAACGAGCCCCACCACTGGGAACTGAAACCTCTAGCTTCAGGGCTCCAGTTATCACTGGATCAGGTCCACACGCAAAGAACCAAGCAGAAAGGAAAACTGAAAGTGAGATGTGGCAAGGCGATACAAGAGCCTGGCCTGTCCGAGGCTCAGTTCCTTAGAGATACAGTGTGAGCGTGCACAGGGTGAGTGGAGGTTGGAGCGACATGGAAGGTTAGGTCTTGTAGAAAGCAGAAAGAAACCTCTAGGTTAATAGAGAAGAGAAAAGGCAGACTGAGCTACCAGTGTGGGGTACCTTGGGGGGTGGGGTGGGGTGGTAGGTAAGCAAGGAATGGAGTTCTCTGGAAACTCTCTATAGCCACTTGGGAGGGGACAAGCCCAGTCTGGGCAGACATGCCCTGGAAGGAACAGAAAAAGAGATCTAAGCTGAGTTAAGCAAGATGGGGGAGGGTGAGAGAGAGTAAAGGAACTGAGCACCAGGTACCACAGACTGCTGTACTCTGAGTTGCAAGACTTAACACCTTATAGCTGCCATGGGGAGGGGAGGACACTCCTCCTTTCCCCGTGCCCATGTAGCCAAGGAATAGGAGGAGGCGTCACAGAGCTGAACCAGGTCTCTGGATGCAAGTCTAGGGAATAAGGGGCTCATGCCATCTTGCCTGGGTTCCTGTTATCTCCAAACATGCCTCTTGGAAGGCACGAGAGCACAACAGTGGCTGCTTAGATTCTGCAAAATTTCTTTTTCTGAACTTTTGATTTGGGGGAATCAGAATTTAAACCCCTACTATCAGCCAGTTCCATTTTCTCTGGTCTTAAAGAAGTCCCACTTGCTACTGCTCCTCTGCTTAAAGAGAAAAATCGCATGGGTTTTCCTCTACAAACTTTACAGGTTGTTTTTTTCGTTTCTCTAAATGGAGCCAATTATTCTCACATTTGTTGAAACCTTCAATCAAACTTTATAGCTTGTTAATTTTACGGAATGTCCTTAGAGCAAGTAAGATGCAGACAGGAAAGTGAAGTCTTGCTAAGATTATTAAGAAAGCTTAAAATAGCCTACAAATCCACCACCAAGGCTGGTGAATAGAGGCTGCTTGGCTGGCTTCTGAGGTCAATTAGCAATGGGTTAATTATCATCTTTAATCAGCCAAGCCTACAGGATTGGCTACAAGAAGCTAACGTCAGACTAAAGTGTTTTCACAAACTGGGAACCTCTAGTTATTCACAACTCACCCTCACAGGAGCCTGCAGGGTGAGAAGGACAATTCCGTAGTGGCCAAGGGTGGGTCAGCCTAAGAGGTCTGCCAATGAAAGTTCAGACACAGGGAATCCTCTGGAGCTGGGAGGACAGAGGAAGTGGTTTATTCACATTCCTAGAGGGAGGGGCTTCCAGGCAGGGAGCAGACTCCAGAGGCAGGAGGCAA